AGATAGAGATACAGAGAGAGAGAGGTCTTCCATCCACTGATTCACTCCCCAGTTGGCCGCAATGGCAGAGCTGCGCTGATCCAAAGCCAGGAGGCAGGAGCTTCTTCTGGGTCTCCCACATGGGTGTAGGGGCCCACGGATTTGGGCCATTTTCCACTGCTTTCCCAGGCCATAGCAGACAGCTGCATTGGAAGTGGAGAACCCAGGTTTCAAACTGGCGCCCATGTGGGATGCCGGCACTTCAGGTCAGGGCGTTAACCCACTGCACCACAGCATCAGCCTCCTTCCCATTTTAAATCATATGGTGACATGAAAATTGTTTTCCCCATTGTATATTATTAATGAATTAAAAATTATTTAGATTCATCCAGTTTTACTTTTAAATAATTTTCTAAGTAATGCTCCTAAGATGTGACATCCAAGAAATTGCACTTATGTATTAGTCTCTTCCCCCCCCCCCCCCCCCCCGCCACTTGCCTGTCCAACTTCTCCCTGCCTGGCCCTGCTGTTCCATTCCGCCCCGGGGTTGGTTTTTAGGGCACCTCTGTGCACATCTCTACCTTGGCCGCTTCCCCGGGAACCTGCCCTAGCACAGCGGCCTCAGGGCCCAGCACTCCTTTCCCATTTGTTGTATAGTCACGTCCACAGGGCTGGGAGCCCCGGACGCAAAGGCCCTGGAGCAATGCCTGGTGCATGATGGTAGGTACCCGAACCGGCAGCTCTTCTTGGAGAGTCAGAAGTTCGCGATTCCATCTTCTCCAGCTGGAGAGATTGCAGAAGACTCCCAGGAGGGCGGCCCCTGCCCCCTGGACCCTGAGCCTGCATCTGATGCTCCTTGCGTGCGCTCTGGGCACACCTCTGCTTCTCATGTCATCATTACAGGTGCACGTGTTGTTCCTCCCACCCTTTGTCCTGTGTGCTCCACGTCTCTCAGTCATGGCTCTGTCTCACATGAGAGGCCTCCCAAAGATACTTATTTATTTTTAACTAATTAGAAAGGCAAAGATACTGAATATTAGACAGAGCTCCCATGTGCTGGTTCACTCTGCAAATGCCTGAAACAGGTGGGGCCAGGCGGAAGCCAGGAGCAAGGAACTCAATCCAGGTCTCCCAGTTAATTGAGCCATCTCTGCTTCCCAGGGTGTGCACTAGCAGGAAGCCAAATCTGGGGTCAGAGTCTGGAATGAAACCCAGGCACTCTGATGTGGGATGTAGGCATCTTAATCGCTAGGCCAAAAGTCCACCCCCATAGATATTTATTAAATTGACATTTGTGGCCGGCGCCGTGGCTCACTAGGCTAATCCTCCGCCTGAGGCTCCGGCACACTGGGTTCTAGTCCCTGTTGGGGCACCAGATTCTGTCCCGGTTGCCCCTCTTCCAGTCCAGCTCTCTGCTGTGGCCCGGGAAGGCAGTGGAGGATGGCCCAAGTGCTTGGGCCCTGCACCCGCATGGGAGACCAGGAGAAGCACCTGGCTCCTGGCTTCGGATCAGCGCGGTGCACCGGCCGCAGCGGCCATTGCAGGGTGAACCAACAGAAGAAGGAAGACATTTCTCTCTGTCTCTCTCTCTGTTTCTCTCTCTCTCTCTCTCTGTCCACTCTGCCTGTCAAAAAATTGCCATTTGCCTGAGTTTTTTTCTTTTTTTTTTTTTTTAACTAAGTCTGGGTTCAGTTTGGTTCCACTCTGGGAATTAGTGACTTTTCTGCAGACTTTGGTCCAGTCCTCGAAGCCCGAATCCATCCCCTTGTCTGTTACATGTTCCTGGAGCAAGACCTGGGGCCAGGCACTGGAAACACAGCGGTGGGCAGGATCCTACAGTCAGGCTGCGAGATAAATAATGAGCACTAAAGCACATAACTAGGCAACCATGAGACTGCTGCTGGGGGCGCAGGGAGTAGTGAGCAGAGACTCAGGGACCCGAGGGAATGAGCAGGAGCCTCCTGCAGGCAGGTGGGAAGGCTTGAGACCAGGAAAGATCCCAGAGGTGCGGGAGGTCTGAGTGCGGGGGAGCAGAGGAGGCGCGGAGTTGGAGGCTCTTCTTGGCTCCGTCTAAAAGATGGGTGTGCAGTCAGCCAGAGGTGCAGCGGAGCGGGTGACCGTGCATAGGAGGGGAGGGCACCCTCTTCCACGTCTGTGTTGAAGGGAGCCATGCCAGGACCCACTCCAGTGGGGAACAAAGAATCAAGAGAGGCTCCCGTTTGGGGCAGATCTGCTGTGTGGACGGTGATGTGAGTGCAAGGATGTGGAGGAGGGTGGGATGGGAGGATAAGGCAGGGTTTTGGGAGAACCAAGAATCCTTCTATAAATGTTACATCCTGGAAACTCAAGGGCCTGCCCTGGGGCAGCCGGCCCTGGTCATCCCCTTTCTGGGACCTGGCCCTGATGAGAACACAGTCCATACGCTACTGGGATTTCCTGAAGTTCTGGGGGCCCCAGCAAGTATGGGAAGGAAGCGCCCGCCGGTGAGCGAGCCCGGAGGGAACAAACAGAAGATGGCCGGGCCCCGAAGAGCCCCACACTCTGTGTTCTTGGAACCCAGATGCAGGAGCTGGAGTGTGTGCAGCCAACAGCCAGGAGGCGAGGTGTCAGCCGCCAGGAGAAAACCGCTCGCCTCCAGCTCCCGGCACGCCGCCCGCAGCTCCGTGAAGGGTCTCTCGGCCCACGCGCCTCTGGAATGGAAAACAGATTGGAAGGCAGGCGCAGGCTGCCAGCTGGGTGCTGTTCAGACATCTGCCGGCCATCAGGAGCCACCTCGTGTTCCCGGTCCTCTCGCAGCTCGCTGCACGAGAACAGGAGCGAGTTTCTCCAGGGACCACGGGCCTGTGAGTGCACAGAGTGTGCTGAGCGGCTTGCTGTGGGAGGCCTGGCTCAGCCTCGGGGGACAGGAGGGCACTCAGCCCACCGACCCCTTTTTTCAGGCAAGTGTCCAGTGCAACTCAAATCCTAACGCACCCTAATGCACCCCGCGGAAATCCAGCCGCTGCTCAGCCGGGGTCACAGAGCTCCCGTGTCTGAGCTCTGGGGACTTCGCTGGCTGCCGCTGTGTTCTGGCCACTTCCCCCCGTGGCCCGAGAAATCGTTTTCTCTGTCCGTCAGGCATGGATGACCTCTCTGTGCTTCCACTGGTCCAAGCTGGTGAGGGGTTTCAAACGCTACCCACACTGCCATCTCTGGCTGTCCTTGTCGGCCAAGAAAATTCCGTACGAAAGGGACTTCAAGAGCTCATGAAAATGAGATTAGAAGGTAAGCTGACTTTGGGGCTGTTTTTGCATGGTATGCCCGTCCCATGGATGTTTTGAAGACACCTGGTTTGCAAAGAGGGGGTGGACAACGGCCAGGCCTCGTGAACACAGAACTGTGTCCTGCAGCTGGCGGCTTCCCGTCCAGGAAGCCAGCCCCTCACCTGCACACCCCACCCCGCAGACAGCCTGCTGTCCATCAGCTCCCAAGTGACAACTCAGGAAGCAAGATGGCAGCTTCTCTAACATGGCCAGGACCTGTTTAATAAGCGCTTTCCTCATTGTTGTCCCTCTGGGTGCCTGCACACAGGGAGAGCCCTGGGAGGCTGCTGGCCTGGAGACAGCCGCTGCAGCAGCTGGCCGCCGCCCTGTGCCTTTGGCCTGCTCCTCGGAGCACATGTCCTGTGGCTCCCTCTGACCTGCACGGGCTGATTGCCTGCCTCCACTGGGTCCTGATGCTGATTTTTCAGCCATTCTGGGCACTCAGAGGCTCAGGGCCTGCAGGTGTGCCCAGCAGTGGGACTCATTTCCAACATGAGAGTGGGGCAGCTTCCAAGGAGGGGGCTGTGAAAAAAAGTGCACGGGAAATGCAAATTAGGAAAATGCGAAGCAAGGATTTCAAACTTTCTGCACCAAAGTAAATTCACCTTTTAAGTCCGCTTTTGCATGGACGTTTTGAAGGCCCTGTGGGGAGGGGCAGGACAGGAGGCTCCCTGGGTGGAGGTCGGTGATCCAGCTCGGCCTTCAACCCAGAGCCCCTGCTCAGGCAAACAGACCAGACTCACTTGAAAAGGCCCCCACCGCAGCCCCAGCACCTCCCTCAAGGGGAGCGTACCCAGTGCATCCTCCCACCCTTCCAGAAAGTCCTGGAAAGCGTGCAGTCCTCCATCCTATTCCATTTCCAGGAAGTTTAGCACACCTAGCAGAGCGCAGCCGGGCCCTAACGGCTCTGCCTCCCTGTGGCTGGTCTGGGAACTGGGGGTGGAAGTTACCTGGCTGCCTCTTTACCTTTAAGTGATGCCATTATTCAAGTCCCAACACCTCCAGTTGTCTCCTCCATCAGCCCGTCCAGCTCCCTGGTCTGCTACTAAGAGGGGCGCCGTGAGAAGGGCGGGCCATCCCTTCCCAGTGGAGTGGCGGCGCAGTGGCCAGCAGCCCGGGACTCTGACTGCTACACCGCAAAGCCCGAAAGATGAAGAGAGACCGCTTCGCAGGCACAGACGACGCTGGGCTCTGCCTTCCCTGCAAACCCACGAGGCGGCTTTCACGCCTGACTTTCGAACGCCTCGACTGAGAGGGAGCAGGATCTGTGATGACTCAGCACTTTTGTTCTAAGTACTGCTGGGGGGGGCAGACTCTGTGGATGACTGAGCACCTTCGATGTAAGTACTGCTCTGTCATCAGTGTGCTCGCGGGAGCAGGGAGAAGGGGGCAGGTGGATAACAAAACTGGGGAGCAGGTAGGAGGGAGAGGGTCACGCGGGCTGTCTCAAAGGGGACAGGGTGTGTGGTGCCCTGCTGAGGTGAGTGGAGGGCCAGCGTCCCCACCAGGGTGCCACCTTCCTCTGGGGCAGAGCGGTGCTGTCTTCCGGCTCTTGCAGAGATTATCCACCTTTGATGCCGGTGCCGCAGGAGTGTGAGCTGTGCCGAGGGGGTGGCGGGGCAGCGACTGCCTCCTGCTGAGTTTGCTCGGGTCTGCTGTGGTGGGAAAGCAAGAGTAATTACTTACAGGTGATGGGTGGGTGGATGGATGGATGGGTGGCGGTGCAAGACTTTTAACTCACTTCCAGAGAAAAACTGTTACATCGAGATTGGGTTCCTACCACTTTGCTGGGCTCCGCAGTCCTGTTAGGATAAAGCAGTCACCGAAGATGGGGTCTTAGTTACCCTGACATTGTAACAGTGTAGGTTGACTGCCCTGCCGCTCCCCAGCACCACCACACACACTTTTGTTTAAACTTTTACTCATTTGGCTTGGAGCCACCACTGCTCTGCAGTTGCATTTCCCGAGGGGCTCTGCGGGCTCCACAGGCTGGAGCCCCGTCCTGGCTTCGAACCCCTACACACCCAGTCCGCCTGCTCGCCTGCCTCGTGCTGTTTCCTGAGTGAGGGCGGCCACTTAGCCTTCTTTGGAAGTGGGCAGACCTTAACCACAAGCCCCACGGAAGGCCTCTGCCGCACACAGCGCCCAAGACAGCAGGACCCAGCAGCTCCCCTGTCTCATGCCGCGACGGGAGGCCAGGGTCACAGGGCGGGGGTGCCTGGCAGCCAGGCGCAGGGCGATGTCAACATGACCGGGGTCGGCTCCTACCCTCCCCAAATGCCGGGCGGCAGGTTCCCAGCGGGCACTGCTCTGCTCTCACTGATCCCAGACACACGAGGTTGGCAGGCGCTGCCACAAAGCACCAGGCTGTGCTGTGCTTCAAGGCCAAGTGGCTGCCTCCCCTTCCGCCCAGGCCTCGGGAACCCGCTCACGCTCACCTGGGCTCCTCCCCCAGGCAGAGACGGGGCAGCCTCTGCCCCCGCGTCCCTCGCAGGGACCGGCTGACGGATGTGGCTCCCAGCACAGCTCCTCCTGCACCTGCTGTGAAGCCAGCCCCCGTCTCTGCAGCTTTGGTAACAACCCCGACGTCCTCGCTAAGCGGCTCGGTAGGTGCTGAGATTGCTACTCTGCGACCACCACAGGTTAAACGTTTTCCTTTACTTTTTTTTTTTTAAGATTTATTTATTTATTTCAAAGGCAGAGTTAGAGGCAGAGGTGTGGGGAGGAGGTCTTCTATCAGTGGTTTATTCCCTATATGGCCACAACAGCCAGAGCTGCACCGATCCAGAGCCAGGAGCCAGGCGCTTCTTCCAGGTCTCCCATGCAGGGGCTCAAGCACTTGGTCCATCTTCTACTGCTTTCCCAGGCCATAGCAGGGAGCTGGATCGGAAGTAAAGCAGCCAAGACTTGAACTGGCACCCATATGGGATGCTGGCACTGCAGGTGACGGCTTTAGTGACGGCTTTACCCGCTACTCCGCAGCACCGGTCCCTGCTTTATTAGCTGTTGTCCTCGTTATTTTAATCCAACAACACTTATTTATCTGATTCCCACGCTGGGCAGCTTGAGCTATTTTAAAAATCAAGTAGAGACTCCTCCAAGGAGGGCATCACAGTGGCCTAGTCAGATACGGCAGCGTGCCCCCTTACCTGTGATTTTATTTTCTATGGTTTAAATTACCCACAGTCAACTGAGGTCTGAAAATATTAAATGGAAAATTCCAGAAATAAAAAATTCACAAGCTTTAAATAAATTTTATTGTAATATATTGTTAAAATTTTTCTATTTTATGACTAGTTGTTAATCTCTTATCATAAGTGTGTATATGTAGGAAAAAATGTAGCATATAGAGTTTCATGCCTCTGCATGTCGGGCACCTGTGGAACATTCTAGAATGCATCCTCCACACTAAGAGGGTCTGGTGTATACCCTGTGTCATATAAATCTAGTGCCACAATAGTAAGTGCACAACACCCAAGCACAACGCCTCTGTGGGCTCACAACAGAAGGGTGCACTTACTTTACGAGTCGGGTCTGTGGGCAGGTGGCTTTGGCTGGGCTCCATGGGCCGCTCTGGTCTCCGCCAAGCTTGCTCCTGTGGCTCTCACAGTGGTGACCCAGCTGTGTGGTCTTCCTCCTTAAGGCTCATTTGGGCCCATTCTCCCAGTGCCTGCCGGGTCAGGAGTCAGGTGGAGGGGACACAGCCTCCCACTGCAGCAGCTGGCCGGGTCAGCTGGCCCAGGGAGCGCGCACCAGATCGCCTGGAGAAGGGTGTGGCGCAGGGTGGGAGGAGAACGGAGGCGATGCTGGTCCCCTTTGTCAGTGGAGGACATGGCCTAAGGCCCCCAGTGGACACCTGAACCCGTGGACTGGGCCTAACCCTGTAAAACACCATGTTTTTTCCTAGACACACATACCTGTAATGACGTTTAAGCTAGGCACAGTGAGGGAGTAACCACAGTAATAGATCAGTTGTAACAATCCACTGGAATAAAAGACATAACAGAATAGCATGCACCTTAAAACAGGAGCTGTTGGCTTCTGGAATTTTCCATTTCAAATCTCCAGGTGGGGACTGACCTTGGGAAGGGACACCGCGGGTGGGGGAGGGGTGACTGACCACTCCGCCCTGTTGGCTTTCTACTGGGAATGACTCCGCGGAGGGCAGGCGGTCGGAAAAGCAGTTTCCCCTTCGACGTCTCCCTCCCGCACACGTGCGCTCCCCGCAGCCGGCTGCGCAGAAGGCAAGGCTGTGTCTGTGAACGTTGACTGATGGAGGGCGGCGAGCGCCTCCCCGCGAGCGCTCGGTCAAGAGGCGCCGGCGCCCAGCGTCGCTGCGGGCTGAAGTGCACGTGGGAGGTGTTCCCGGCCCCGCACGTGTAAGGTGTTTGCACCTGCACACGAGTGAGGTGGTTCGCGCCTGTGCTCATGTGAGGTGTTTGCGCGCACGCACAGACGCGCGCATGGCTGACTCTAGTGTTGGAGAGGAGCCGGGCGGCGCGGCACCCAGTGCGGCTCCTCACCACCCGAGCCGCCGGGAGCGGCCCCCACGCGGCTGCTGAGGCCCCGGTGTCTCCACGGGAGCAGAACCCGAGCCGCCTCCGCGGGGCCCGCGGCTTAGCCAGCGCAGCCCGTTCCGCTCCCGGGACGCAGCCTCCAGAGGAAGCGGAGAGACCCCCCGGGCAGCCGGGTCAGTGCGGCCTCCCCCGCCTGCGACCCCCGGGCAGCCGGGTCAGTGCGGCCTCCCCCGCCTGCGACCCCCGGGGAAGACAGGTCAGTGCGGCCTCGCCTGCCTCCGACCCCCGGGCAGCCGGGTCAGTGCGGCCTCCCCCGCCTGCGACCCCCGGGCAGCCGGGTCAGGGCGGCCTCCGCTGCCTGCGACCCCCGGGCAGCCGGGTCAGGGCGGCCTCCGCTGCCTCCGACCCCCGACCCCCGGGCAGCCGGGTCAGTGCGGCCTCCCCCTCCACCTGGCGCCTGTCTGCTCTTCCTGCGCCCGCCGCCGTCTTCCTCGCTGGCGGCTCTGGGGTGAGGGAGAGCGTCAGGGAACCGGCTTTCCTGTCTGGCCTCTGCCCGGGGCCTCTGAGTCTGGGGGCGAGGTCATCGCTGCTTGGCCGGGGCGCCTGCGAAGCAATGGCGGTGGTGGCGTTCCCCTCTGGGTCGCTGTGCAAGCTGAGTCGCGTTAATGAAATTGGACAGAATAATGACCCAGTACTTAAAAAAGGGGGTGGAAGCGGAAGTCAAAGAGAAGTTGATTTTGGTGCAGAAAATGTTTGAAATCTACCTAGTTTTCTCCTAATAGGCATTTTCCGTGACTCCTGGGCGGTGAGGATGGAGAGGCGGGAGCACCTGCAGGAGGAGCCCGGCTCGCTGCTGCGCCCTGAGATGATGTTTACTCCTGGCGTTGCCAGACAGCAAGTGCCTGCCCCACACTGCGGGGACAACCTAGTTAGCTTCCATTTTCGGTCACAGAACATTCTATTGTGACCATTCGACTCGTAATATAGAATAATATATGATTAAGTGGTGTGTTGTTATATTTGATAACAAGTCAACGTATTCCCCAGTATCTCTTGTCCCACCCAGAAAGAAAACAACACCACATTGCTATAGTTAGACCCCCACCCTCGTTGCTGGTTTGGATGTCACCACACACATGCTCTTAAACACTTACACACACACGCACACACACACACACACGGACTCAGGACTGGCATTTGCTTGCAAAATGGAGTCACATGATGGGCATTTTGCACCTGCTTTTCATCAGCTCTTCCCGTGTCGGCGTATGTAGGACCCGGTCCGCTGGAAGCGCCACTCAGCATTCCCTTGCCTTTCTGTACCCCCAAAGTATCTATTGTTGGAGAGCTTGAGTCAGAAACAAAATGTGTTCTTTAGACCTTTTATCCCTTCTCTCAGAACATCCCAGAAGCCTTGGAAAAGACAGAAGTGGCTGGAAACCCACACAAAGGCAAAGGGAAAAGCAAACACAGCTCCTGGCTGGGAGGCGAGCCGAGCCGCCTGGGAATGTCCGGCCCCGTGGGGTGCTGGTCGACCCTGTGAGATCTCAGGGCTCGGGGAGTTCTGGTTGAAAATAGAACGGCTTCCGCTTTATCTTCAGATATCAGACCTAGAATGGTGTCAAGACGTGGCTGCAGACACACTTCAGACGGCAAGCCCGGAGGTGTCCACATGCTGTGACAGCTCTATTCTGGTGCCGTGCACGCATCCCAGACAGACACCATGGGGCCAACAGCAGCAGAACGGGGGGGCGGAGTGGCGACTGGGTTTCCTTCTGGCGCCTTGTCTTTATCAGACCGAGATTACAGAAGAGTTCTTTGATAGGGCAGAGGGACAGTGACGAGCTAACGTCCTAGCCACCCTGTCAGGTGAAAAGAGAAGCAGCAGGGCCACACTTGGCACCGTGGCTGCGTCCCCCTAGGGATGACTGCATCCTGTGTGCAGTACCTGGGGTCCGGTCCTGGTTCCACTTCAAATCCAGCTTCCCGCTGATGGGCACCCTGGGAGGCTGCAGGTGACGGCGCAGGTCCTGTGGCCCTGCCAGACATGGGAGACCTGGACTGAATTCCAGAGCCCTGGCTTTGACCTAGCCTCGACCCAGTGGTGGGCATTTGGGAAGTGAACCAGCAGATGGGTGTCCCTCCTTCCCTCCTTCCCTCCTTCCCTCCTTCCCTCCTTCCCTCCTTCCCTCCTTCCCTCCTTCCTTCCTTCCCTCCCTCCTCCCTCCCTCCCTGCCTCCCTCCCTCCTTCCTTCCTTCCCTCCCTCCCTGCCTCCCTCCCTCCTTCCTTCCTTCCCTCCTTCCTTCCTTCCCTCCCTCCCTCCCTTCCTTTCTTCCTCCCTTCCTCCCTTCCTCCTCCCTCCTCTCCTTCCCTCCTTCCCTCCTTCCCTCCTTCCTTCCTTCCCTCCCTCCCTCCCTTCCTTCCCTCCCTCCCTCCCTCCCTCCCTTCCTTCCTTCCTTCCCTCCCTCCCTCCCTCCCTTCCTTCCCTCCTTCCCTCCTTCCCTCCTTCCTTCCTTCCCTCCTTCCTTCCTTCCTTCCTTCCCTCCTTCCTTCCTTCCTTCTCTCCCTCCTTCCCTCCTTCCCTCCTTCCTTCCTTCCCTCCTTCCTTCCTTCCTTCCTTCCCTCCTTCCTTCCTTCCTTCTCTCCCTCCCTCCCTTCCCTCCCTCCCTTCCCTCCTTCCTTCCTTCCCCCCTTCCCCCCTTCCCTCCCTCCCTCCCTCCCTCCCTCCTTCCCTCCTTCCCTCCCTCCCTCCCTCCCTCCCTCCCTCCCTCCTTCCTTCCTTCCTTCCTTCCTTCCTTCCTTCCTTCCTTCCTTCCTTCCTTCCTTCCTCCCTCTGTAAAGAGAAGCATCGCCCGTCCTCCAGCCAGTTGGTGCTGACCGTCTGTCCACCACCCTGCTCCGGGCCTGGAGCCTGGGCTCTTGCATCCCAGAGCCTGCATTCTGCAGGCCAGCAGATGGAAGGAGACAAGTACATTGCAGAGTGCGTTTGAAGTGATGACTTTTCTAGTGAAGTAAACGAGCAGTGGGGGCTGGGGGCTCTGAGGCGGGGTTTTCTAGATGAGCATCCACTGTGTGTCAGGGTTTCAGGGCCGCACTCGCCCCAGAAGCTCCTGGGGAGAGTAAAACTCCCACTCCTCTAGCTCCCAGTGCTGTAGCCCTCCTTGGCCTTCCTTGGCTTGTGACAGCATGACTCCAACCTCTGCTCCTCTCTGTGTCTCTGTCCAAGCCACCCCTTTTTTATGAGGCTACCAGGCATTGTGTTTAGAGCCTGCCTAATGCAGTATGACAGAACCTTAGCTTGATTGCATCTGCAGAGACCCTGTTTCCATATGAGGTTGCATGCGTGGGTACTGGGTGTTAGGATGAGATGTGTTTTTGGGGACACGTTCAGCCCAGAAGGGCAGCAGGACTACCTCGCTGAGAGGGCGACATCTGATCAGAGCTGCAAGAAATGAGGGCGTGGGGTGTGCAGGGGCCTGGGAGGAGGAATCACAGGCCGAGGGGCAGCTGTGGGAAGGCATGGAGGTGAGTGAGGGCCGGGATGGCCCAGGAGCAGCAGCTGGCCGCAGTGCACAGCAGCGTGGACTAGGGCGAGGTGAGCAGGTGGAGAGGTTGGAGAGGCAGCTGGCGGGCTGGGTGGTTCTGGACTGCGTCTGGCTTGTGTCTCAGAGGCCGTCACACCATTGTGCTAAGAATAACTGACGAGGAGGGAGGGGACGCTGGGGACTGTAACTGGCAAGACTGGTTAGCCTCTGGTTGTTGAGCTTGAAGGCATGTGACACTAAAACCACTCTCCTCTTCTCCATTGAGGGAAAAACAAACCAACAGTTGGAAGGGACCTGTGGAGTGGGATCCTGGGTTGAAGGGAGAAGGGGCCACGGGTGGCAGCAGGAAGGCAGACAGGAAAGGCCAGTGGGCAAGGTGCAAGTGTCCCGCTGAGAGACCGATTCCAAGTCACGAGGCAAGAAGAGAAAGACTCAGCCTGAATGCCGGCTCCACAGGGCGGGGACCTTGGCTTTGCTTTGTCCAGACCCAGAGCAAAGTACCCGACACAGAGTAGGCATTTCACAGGTATTTGTTGACTGGCCAGCTGAATGACTAATGAATGAACAACCGAGAGGGAAGGAGTTCTTCACTCCCATCCATGTTGTCCGTAGTGCTTGACTGTCCGGTGGGAAGGTCTCTGTCATGGAGTGGACAGTGGAAGATAACTTGCAGAGACAAAGCCCACCACCATTAATAAAACTCCACGCTCCAGCCAAACTTACTCCCAGCAAGAGTTGATTTTTCTTTTTTTAGATTTTTAAAAAAGATTTATTTATTTATTTGAAAGGCAGAATTAGGCAGAGAGAGAGAGAGAGAGAGAGAGAGAGAGGTCTTCCATCCACTGGTTCACTCCCCAGGTGGCTGCAACAGCCAGAGCTGGGCTGATCTGAAGTCAGGAGCTTCTTCCAGGCCTCCCACGTCGGCAGGGGCCTAAGCACTTAGGCCATCTTCTGCTGCTTTCACAGGTCATAGCAGAGAGCTGGGTCGGAAGTGGAGCAGCCAGGACTCGAACTTGCACCCTTATGGGATGCCAGCACTGCAGGCCACAGCTTTACCACTACACCACAGTGCCGGCTCCAAGAGCTGATTTTTCCTAATGAGCTAGCAAGGGAACGATTGATGCTGCCTGCTGAAGTTGGCTTCAGTACACTTGAGGGACAAGGACAAGGGTATGACAGACCCTAACAGTCTGCCCAGGGCTCTACTGCCTGTGCACCGCTCGGCTCACAGGCTGAGAGAGAATGCCCAAGTGTAGTGCCCCCAGG